TATCGAAGGGGGACGATTTTGTTAAAAAAAAAAAAAAAAAAAATAATAATAATAATAATGAAGAAAATGCATTCGTATTATTATTTGCTAAAATTCGTGAATTTACATAATTTTATAGTCGAAGAAGCAGACATGTGTTCTACTATATAAATTATTGTAACGTGTTACTCTGTTGAAGAGAAAATATCTATGAATTTGTAAAAAAGTTACAACTGGCCAATTGTTTGTCCTAGATAATATATAACATATAAATATATATACATGTCGTTAAGTTCCTGATGCAGTCTCGTGTTATAAAATCAAACTAGTATTATGAATTCAGTCGATATATAATACAAAAAATTACAAAAAGTACTTATGTGAAGAATAAAAAAATTGCATTTTATAAGTTTTGCCATCAGAAACAACAAGCGAGGTACACGTGGCATTATGTAGAAAATAGGAAAGGAGTAAAATAACAACTTGCATTAACGCAAGCATGATACAAACTGAATGTTTGTTGAAAACTCATGGATCCAACACATCATGTGCATACATATTGTAAAATTATTGATGAATAAACAGTGAAAATATCAGATACATCTCTTTTCCATGAATCTCGAAGATTTGAATAATCGCAGAAATAATTGAGATTTTTATAGATTATCATTTTTTTAATAAGTATTATTTTTAATAATTTTTTAAAATATTTCTAGTAATAAAACGATTATCGTATATACAATATATTTATTATGTATGTACAAAGATGTGTAAATTTTCGCAAAATATGTTTATTTTTTGTACTTAACATACTGGATGTATTTAATTTTTGATAGATTAAAAGAAGGCAAATTACAAATTAAATCACAACACATTCGTAAGGAAATGGTCCCCGGAAACGTTGATTATTTGGTCCTGGGCAAGCTGCAAAACACATCATTTTATTGAGAAAGATTTTTTTTATAATTATATTTTCTAGTATTAGACTAGACTCGTTGAATTTTATATCAATAATTTTTTAATGTATAATCACACAAATATCAAACAGTCGGAAATTAAGTAGATTGTATAACAAATTAAACAGTTACCAATTGGTCAAATGTCCGGAAAATTTATGATCATAATTATTATTTATCGATGATGATTACTAACGTTTATCACAGTGTGGTCCGTAATAACCAGTTCCTTCGCAGCGACATTTAAATCCAGGATCTGATGATATTTGCAAGCATGATCCCCCATTCAAACAAGGTTTCGATCTATAACATATATCGCTACGCCTACCTGAAAGGATAATTACATAATAATAAAGAGATAATCATTTGATTCTCTTCGTAGTATTAATATTGAATATTTATATTCGTTTGAGTATTCATGAACAAAATTTATAGTGATATTATGAACAATTTTGTGAAATTAACAGGTAAGTTATTACCTCTTAATGCTTCTTTGCAATCATCGTTAGTACTATATCTATATTCGGAGGAACAACCGTAACCGCATCTGCATTGAGCATTATAGATACGACATCCATATTGCATTTGATCCAAATCGCAAGCTTTTGATAACGTACCTATTATTGCAATCAAATTAAAATATTCAATAAATATATATAACAACATCATAATTAAATTTTTTACTTAAATTTGTAATTTATTATTGTATTATTTTCAAAAATATCAATACATTGTTCGAATTATGATGAAATTACAAAATGATCGATTTTTTAATTCTCTTTTTTATTAAGAACGGCAGCATGAAACATATCATATTTATATTTGATTTTAAAAACGAAACATAAATCGTTCGTCAGATTAAATGATAGTGTAAAAGAACACCGTTTCTATCAGTGGATGATAAATAAGAGTCTATATGAAGTCAATATTATATAACTTTTAATAGATTAAAATTTTATAAAATTAAATGAATTTGCATATATTTTGATATAGGAGAAAATTTATTGGTGATAAGATTAATTCTACATTGCCAAAAAAGAAAAAAAAAAAGAATGGTAAATATTCAAGCAATAAATGTTATAAATCATACGTTTTCCATAATATTTTCTATTTGTAGTGAATATATCTGCAGTTTATTTATTCTGAAAAGATAATGTTATGAAGAAATATGCTGTCAGAGGCTATTTGTACCGGATGTGTCCATTGCACTTCCCACTTACCTAAATTGATAAACCTTCGACGAGATAAAGTATGTCTCCGTGGGTTAATTGATTTTCGGATATACAATTTAAATTACTATTATTTTCTTCTCTAAATGAACTGTTGTTAAATACATTCGTTTTTATTTGTGCAAAAAAAAATAACTTTTGTTTCTAAATATACATATATTTCGCAAGGTATATTCAAGAGCAGGCGCGGAATGTGCATCATTGAAAGTACGCTTCATTATCACGGCACATTATCTGTCTGCTCGGTGAATGAACCGAGATTTCTTTTAATGGAACAGTTGCATTTATTTTGTTTTAAGCGAATTACTACCGCCTAAATCAGCGCCGTTTAAAGGTAGCATTATAAATACCATCATAAAATGATTTTTTCACGATTTTAAAATAAAATCGTCATCGTTTTTAAATTTCAAAATCATTTAATTTGTATTGTTTAAGAGAATTTCTATGCAATTAATGAGGACATGCATGCAAAAAAGTTGCTAATGTGTTGAATTATAAATTAATTGTTAAATTATAATGAGAATAAACGAGAAGATCGAGAAATCAATATTTCGCTTACGATAACGCAAGTCATATGGTACATTATCACTGTAAAACTTCTAATGATTTGAAGAAGAAAGATCAATTATTATATCATTATAGTATATCATTTCACTTCACAAAGATAATATACTTTATGAAATGACATGTTAAGTTTTTACTCTTTTACAAAGTATTTTATATGTATTCTATATTGCGTTACATTAGGGGAACATATGAAACGCAAATAACGTGTTCGTACCTATAACAACGAGTAGCAGAATTATTGGCAGTACCAGTCTTGGTAGCATGATGGACCTAAAGTTCACACAAAATCTGGGGAAGAGCTGTTCCGATAACGATAATCCAGATAATTGTAGATGTCAGAAGACAGAGATCGACGATCAGCGCCTGCAGCTAGGCTATTACTTGAACTCAGTGGGGTTAAAGGTCGCTCGTCAAAAGGGGGTTCTTTACACATTCACTATCGCGAGGATAAAATTCGTGCTCCGGTGCAACGTTCCTTATGTCAGCTAGCATCTATACTCGCTGAACGCGTCAACCAAACTGAACAGCCTACATCAGACAGCTGAAGGCAACTGTCTCTTTACGACTATTAACAAAATGCGGCCTAACGCGCTTAGCTAGTACACCCACCAGGCTATACTAGACTAAAGAACCATGCGTGGGGTGTAATATCAACTGATGACTGCACAATAATGTATTTCTAATAAACTTACATGTATACTGTGACACGAATTATTTATATTAATGATGTTTGTTCAGTTAATTTTAAATTTGGTAATTTTATAAAAATTTTACGATTAACATTATTTATTTGCGAATCTTTATATTATTTCAAACAATAATAGACTCTTGAGATGGCTTTCTCGAGCTAGGATGGCTCAAAACTTACAAAACATTATATTCCCTGGGATAAGCTCCAATCTGTTATATGATCTCATCCATACGATACCAATCCATCTGTTTTCAGATAGACCACGTGGCCGGCAGAAAACGTTATTAATTTCTACTTTTACTTTTGTAAGTAATCGAAATTTCTTTTATAATTTTAATATAAAATGTAAATAGAAATTAATTTTTTAAATTAATATACATCTCGTTTTTCTTATACTGCAAGAATATTATATAAGGTGTGGTTTCTTACTTTCTTCATTTTTTGAATAGTAATGTTGGGTGGTTGGAGAAATATATTATCGTATTTTAAAGTTCGATAACATTTGACACGCACAGTCATAATTCCGGAAGTAAATGTCGCTTACATTGTGAAATGTGTATATTTTGTTTATTTAATTTTTGCAATATTTGTTTATAAAATAAGGATAATTAGTTTCAAAAATGTAATAGGGACTTATACAATTTTATGATTAAACTGAGATTACAATATTGTAATATGAAATTAAGTCAAGGCAGTTTATTAATTACAATAATAATTTATTAGAAAAGAACATAATCTCTCGTTCAATTCTTCGATGGATTATAAAAATTTTAAAACTTCATTTATAATATATAAGTACATTTAAATATTAATATTGTAAATATTTTACAAAAATATTTTATGTTTCACACAAATATTTAAAATATTTCAACGCATATAATTAAAGTTTAAATATAATAATGATTTCAATTAGTTTTCTTAATATGCATATCCGATATTTTCATTATGCCATTAAAGACAAACTTTGATTGTTTATATTCTAAAACAGTAACATTTATGTAAAATATAATTTTATATTATATATTAAAGTATTAAAGTAACAACTGTTAGTACCTTACATGAATGTTTGATCATGTTGTTCATGTATCATTGTTGCTCTTCTAGATTGAACCATACCACTTTGTCTATTATACAATTCTCGTATTAAGTTGTCCTTTTCTTGTTCAAGTATTGTTATTCGCTGGCTTTTTTTACTGACTTCCTAATATTTAATTAACATAAATGAATTAACTTATATCATTAATATATGTATGTATATATATATATATATATATATATATATATATATATTTATATTTAATTTACCTCTGTTAATCTATGATTTTGTTGCTTTAACCTAGACAAAATATCTTGTTGAAGTTGAGTAGATGTAGGAGTACTAAGGAAAGCAAGATTCATGTGAAGGGGAAGTCCACCACGTTCCCAACTACATATTAATGCAGCTAAATGTCTGTTAACTTCTAAAACTCGAGCACGTTGTAATTCTAAACGTTCTTGTTGTGCTTCTGTCCATTGTTCCTGAATAAGAATACGTACGTTGATACATATTTCAGATAATTTTATAAAGTTGGAAAAAACATTTCATACCACATGAGATCCCATACGTCCAAGATGTTTGATTTTTTCTTGAGTAGAGGAGATTTGTTTCAAATACCATTCTCTGGCTTTATCGACTGCAGCAAGACCTTGAAGTAATACGTCTTTCTCTTGCTCAATTTGTTTCATTCTTTTCATCTAAAAAGAAGAATTACCAAATGGATATTATTGTTAAAAATTAAGGAACAGGCTTCCCAACTATGCATTCTATTAGAGTGTAATATAAATACTAAGTGTATATTATAATACTACTTTAATATAAACTGTATCATTATCTACATGTTAATATTCACTAAATTTCATGCATACCCAAAACCAATCACCAATCGTTAGTTGGGAATCCTAGAGAAGAATATCTTTACCATATTATAATCAATACCATTCTGCAACGTGTGACGCCTAGGTTCTCTACGCCTACTTAATGCTTTTTTTGGCTGTAAGCCAATTTGATTATTATTTTGTAACTCAACTGCTTTACCATCTCCCAATATTCTACCTGGTCTTAATAATGTTCTAGTGTCAGATCTGTAATTTACTGTTGGCAATTGTCTTTTTTCTATAGTTTTATCATCATTCATTAATAAACCCATCTGCCAATTTTGCAATACAGTTCGAATTTCAGATTTGTCAAAATTTCTATCTGAATTAAGAGTTCTAGTTTCTAATGCAGTACCCATTCGTGGAGGTTTTGGAGGTCCATATGCCTTATTTAATTTCAATTCAGGTCCACTTCTATGGCCACCATCCATTAATTCTAAGTGTGTATGATTTACATCTTTTCGGCCTGGTAATAATTGTGGCATGCTTAAAGTACGCTGTTGAGATATAGCATTATTTGGCCTGATAGTTGCTGTATTTGGGGATGTCCATGTTGTTTTATTTTGATTGTCAGGTATAAGTATTGGAGCAGATGGTGGTCTATTCGGTTGACCATCGTGTTTCTTCGTGTCACTATCTGTTTGAATTTGTAGTAAACATATCTTTAGTCCTGTACAAAACCTTTCAAAAGACAATAAGCCATTGGGTGGAGTGACTTTTTTAAGACTATCTAGAACACCTTTTGGAAGACCTTGCGTTCCGTCGTCTTGCCATCTGCCTTCAATATCAGAAAATTTCACAAATCCTGTATTTTGGTCATCCATAATATCAAAAAGTGTACGCATAGCGGTAACAAAATGCTTTGGCAGCCCATCCGCGCCCGAAGTTTGTATTTGTGCCATATTTATATACGCCGTATTTAAAATATAATTGTTAAGAAAATGTACACTTAATTAAATGTTTCAAATTCGTAATTTACCTTCCAGGAAGGTACGGGAAAGTACAACATTATTTCTTTTAAGGAATATTTATTCGATTAGTCATTTTGTATAATTAGCATTGTTTCATTCATCTGATAGATCCGTTTTTCTTTATTTAACATTTATTAAACAATACTGCCAAATTATATGTCTTTATTGCACTTCACACTTTTTAGATACATTTTACTTCTCATATCTTCTTAACAACATTAGCTTTCTGATAACCTTCTTAAACTTCCGATCGTACAAAATGCAATTAAATATCAATACAATAAATAAAACAGGTGTGCCGAAGTATTAACTATCTAAAACGTACTACAGTTTTCATACTCATAGAAACAGTACTTAAAGTACAATATTTAATTATAGATATGTATAATCAGTGACTAACTGAGATAGACCGAACATTCTATGCTTTTTCGTTTTCCATGATTTGAAGAAACTTGAACCCTGTACAATTTTCGTGTCACATTCTACCATATCGATTAAGGAAACGCAGCGGCACTAAATTTTGATTAATACATCCTAACAATCGGCTTGAATCAAAATGCAAGTACAATGACACGAATTATAGAACGAATTAATTAATTTAATTATTAAATCATAATAATTTGTTAAAATTTTTAAATAATGTTTAGCAATGTAATAGAAATAAAATAACTTTACTATTGCAAATTAATCAATCAAAACATAATATAAAGCATTTTTATAATATTTCAGTACATTATTTAACAATTTTCACAATTTATTTAAAACAATTAAATCAGTGTTTAAATCACTTTATATATCAATGCATTATTCCATAGCTTGAATAATTCATATACAAAAACTAAATTATACTATTCATAATAACGCAAATAGACAAATATATAAAAAACACATTTCTTCATCTCCAACATAAAAAATAAGCGAAAAGTTCTATATATTCCACGACTATAAAAAGCGAGAATCATAAAATAAAAATAATTTTGAATACATACTTATTTCCAAAACAAATTATTATATAATACATATCAATGTAGATGTAACTGAAAAAATAGTATTATGACAAAAAATCCAAATTTTTAACAAAAAATATCTTATAGTTATAGATATACCACCGTATAATCATTTTTCGAAAACATTTCGAATCAGGACAATCGCTCGATTAAAGCCTTGTCGTGACACCTCCTCACGGATCATATGCTCTTGATACAAAATACGAAAATTTCAGCGAGGTACAGCTTCTGGTTCTCGAGATAGTCCTGCTTGAACTTCTTTCGAAAAACCACTGTGTCAGGAGAACTGTTGGAGGCGGAGATCTGTCGTGCCACCTCTTCGTTTGTCATATGCTCTTGATACAATATACGAAATTTCAGTGAGATACAGCTTCTATTTCTCGAGATATTTCTACTTGAACTTCTTTCGAAGAACCACTGTATCAGGAGACATGTTGGAGGCGGGGATCTGTCGTGCCACCTCTTCGTTTGTCATATGCTCTTGATACAAAATACGAAATTTCAGCGAGATAC